AGGCTGGGGAGGGGGCGGAGAGGCCGAGGCGCCGAGCGGGTTCCCCGGCGGCCGCCGCCTCCCACCTCCTTCTTTTCCTCCTCCTCCTCCTCCGGGGCTTCCTCGGCCGCCCTCGGAGGGGTGCCCGCCGGGGCCGCGCGCCGGCCGCCGCTCCACAGGCCCGCGCCCGCCGCCCGCCGCCCGCCGCCGAGGCCGTGTGCAACCGGCAGCTGCTGCAGCCGCGGGAGGAGAGTCGGGATCGCCGCGAGGAGCCCGGGAGGGGCGGGGCGCGCGGCGGAGCAACACGCAGGCGCCGCCCTCCCTCCTTCCCGGGCGAGGGGCGGCGCGGGGGGAGGGGCGGCGCGGGCCGGGCGCACTCCCCCGCCGGCCGCGGGCCCGCCGGACTGCGGAGCGCGGGAGGCGGCGCGGAAGCTCTTTGTTGCGGCCCCGCCCCGTCCCCTGCACCCCTCCCTGGGGTTCGGGCTGCCCCCCACCGCCAGCTCTCGCCCGTTGGCGGCGGGGTTCCTAGCCCGGGGTTGTCCTTGGCCGTCGGCCCCCTCCCCGTCGCCTCCCGCTCCCTGGAGGCCCCGGGGGAGCTCCCAGGCCTCTCCGGCGGCCGGGTGCGGAGACTGGGGCGCCGGGACCTCCCGTGCGCCGGCCCGCCGGCACCGGCGTGGGGAGCCGGGATGCGTGACTGGGCGCGGGGCCGGGCGGGGACTCCCGGGCTCGCGGCCGGCACCCTCGCGCGGGCTGGTCCGCAGCTCGCCCTGCTGCTATCTGAGGACCGGACGAGGGGGCGGGTGGCGCCCGTCAGCCCACTGCCGCCCCCGCTGCGCAGCTGCTCCGGGCGACTCCACCAGGGCTGGGGGGCGTGTGAATGTCAAGTGTGGTCATTGTTCTCGCGCTCCTTTTCTTCCCGAGGAATCCCAGCGTGCGGAGCAGTTTAACGAGCTGACGTGCTCACTAGGTACAGGGATGACTTCATCCCCAGACAGCGCGGCCGACCCGCGGGGAGCGCGGTCGCTGGGCGACGCGCGCGGAACCGCGTTGCCGCGGAGTGGAGGAAGGGACGCAGCCCGAGCAACCGCTTTCTAGCGTCATTGGCAGGAAGGGAATCCCGGGCGGGGGGCGGGGAGGGATATGAACGAATGATACGTTTTAAATTTTCCGTCATTCGCATGGTCTTGTAATCACCTCCTTTAAAAAAGTAGATATAAAATACAGGCGAGGCAAACTCATTTAAAGTCAGGGGAGGGGGGCATTTAGAAAGCCAGATGTATAGTTATGGGAGTTTTTCGGTATCCAAAAACAAGTCCAATATGCAAATAAAATTTTAAACTGGACAAATCACAGCCCTCTTTTAGGCCCGAGGAGGGCGATGTATTTTCTATATGAAAGATAACTAGAATGGAAAAGGTTTGTTGCTACAGAGTTCCCATTACTGGAGGATCTAATCCAAAATGGAGGACCTACCATGACTCCAAGAATCCATCCAGATGTTTTGGTGTTTTGTTTTAAGATGCAGGTAAAATTCAAATGATAGTTGTGAAGGTTGGGATAATGTACACTTCCACATGAAGAGGGAACAAGTTATAGTCATTCTTGGTCAATGCCTGATTTGTCTGTAGTGGAACTGTGTAGCCCACTTTTAACTATAAAAAGCTTCCTGGTTTCAGAGCCCAATACCGAGTTATTTTCTTTTTGGAACCTGCAGCCTCAGACCAACAACCTTGTAGAAGTAGTGACCTGAAGCTATGGCACAGGACCAGGGTGGCCTCAGGTAGTGAAAAGCACAATTCTGCTGCCCTAAACATGGTATACTTGAAGAACACTAATTTCCACCCACATATCTAATTACAGTTTACCATCACAGCCTTTTATTCAAAGATCTCCACGTACTATAAAGAAAACATCCTTGCCAGTCAAATGTCCTTGTTGCCATATTACACATAGAGACAAGGAAATACAGAGCTCAAGTAACTGGATCAGTTAGTGCAATAGGCATGATTAAAAATGGTGGCTACCAATAATGTCTTTTGCAGCAACTTGGATGGAACTGGAGGCCATAATGAAGTAATACAGGGATGGAAAACCAAATGCAGCATGTTGTCACTTATAAGTGGGAGCTAAGCTACAGGTACTCAGGGGCATACAGAGTGGTACAGTGAACTCAAAGAGGAAGGCAGGAGAGGGGTAAGGGAAGAAAAAGTACCTACGCAGTGCAATGTGCACTATTTGGTGATAGGTACATTAAAGCCCATACATCACCTCTATACAGTTCATCTCTGTAACCAAAAACCACTTGTAACCCTAAATCTATCAAAATAATAAATGTAAAAAATATTGTGGCTATGATGACATTCATTGTCTTACATAAGTTGCTCACTGTAGTTTAAAACACATGCACCTCAAGTATTATTTGCCAAATTAACCAAAGAACATTTGCTGTGGAGGCTTTTTTCTTGGAAAAAGTATTAAGATATTGAACCATCTTGGAAAATTAATTAATAAGATATATTCAACCACAAAAAAGTCACACCAATTTCCTTAGTCAATTCATACCGATACAGTAAATCCAACAGAGCTTATGTTTCAGGGAAATTTCTTATGAAGGGCCAAAAGGGGTGGAGATAGCCCTGTAATGACTCAAGCTATCTCCTGCCAGACACAAGAAACAAGGATAAAAATTCCATACAGATGACTCCATAACCTACTTCTCATATGTGAAAGTTAATCCATCCTGCACTAAATAAGTGATATATCACATCATCTTTATTCTAACGGCAAATGTTCCAATGGTATGGGCACCAAATTAAGCAATCCAAATGGAAAATGCTGTTCTTATTTTCTATGTTTATTAAAAATGTACCAGCCAAGAATTTTGGCTGCACACAACAATTTCCATCCTTTTGGATGACAGCCGGCATGCTCACAAGTTGGTCATACCATTGCCTTTGGATTTAGATATTGCAATGGGTGGCCTGACCTCCAAAGGTCATTCTGTGGAAGGGCAATTTGTTGGCTGTGAAAAAATGTTATTGCTTCTTGTTCATATTTGGTTTAACATTCAAAGAGAGCAAAAGGGAAACTTGAGGTAGGAAATCACAGACTAATTCTAATCACAAAGGAAACTTGATGGAATGTGTTACCATATAGAATAAAAGAATTTTAGAGATGGAAGGAATCTTAAGTCCAGCCCACTCAATTTTCAAAAAAGGATGTGAGGTCCAGAGAGGTTAAGTAACTTTCCCAAAGTCACACAGTCCCTTTGTGGTAGAAGCAGAATTTACACTCAGGATTCCCAATCCTTGGTCCATTGCTCCTTCCACCATATCATACTGCCTTCCTACCACATAAGTAAGAGTGGATTAAAGCAGTAACAGTTAAAAGCTGATTCTCTTCTCATAAACTCTAGTTAAAAATTAGATGAGGTTGTGGTGGTTTGGCTGAATGGTGACAATCATTTGAACTATTAGATTCAAAGCCCAAACCCAATGCCTAATCCATCATGTAGGCACCTAGATATTTGGAAGGTGAACAAATGAATGAATGAATGCTCTGATTTAAGATAAAGAGAAAACTATTCATCAAAAGAAATATACTCTCTTCTTAGCGCCAAGTAAATAGACATCAACTTTCTCTCACAGAAACTTTTCACCTAGCCCAATGTCACAGTAAGAGGCCTGCTCCAAACCCTGGGTGTACACAGCCATCGCAAATTGCTCTACATGTCTGTCAGCAATGTGTGCTCAGACAGAGGATGAAATAAAACATGCTTCTGTTGAAGATGAGTTTGCTGCAGGAGTGTTGTCAGTCTGGCTCTGAGGGTTCTCTCAGAACATGCCTTGTTTAAATTCGTCTGATAGCATCAGTGTAGGCTTGTCCTCCATTTATGGGCATGAGGAGGATGCATGACTAATGCTACTCAGCAGTCAGGAAATCAGTGTTCAGGATTGAAGGCACAGTCTCCACCATCACCCAAAAAAGGCTCTCCCTTGAAAATTAGAATTTATCTGGGGATGGATGAGGAAGAGAAAGTAGTTTAGAGGGAACTTGATTATATACTTTCTACTTGTACATAACAGTATTGTATTTTCATTTGCAGCAATTATTTCACAGTGTAGTTTTTGTCTCCCCAAGAATGGAAAAAAATATTATAGAACATGATATTCCAGTAGGATTCAAGATATTTTTATTAGTCATCTTTTAGCTTTAGCTGCCCATATATAATCTCGGCTCTAAAATATTATCAAGAGACATAGACATTCTATTTGCCTCTCTGCCATTTGCATTTTTCTTCCATTTGTCATTTTTCTCCCTTCCAAATTAGGATTTATTTAGTTAATTTCATTTCTTCCCCAGGGCCTCCTTCTTTTCTTAGCTTTACAGTGTTTAGATTTGGCAGAAGACTCCCATAGCCTGAGTGGCATGGGAGTAACATTAGTCAGTGGAGGCCATATTCTAGAAAATGCAATGCATTATTTTCACAAAATTCAGCCATGGCTGCCATTTAAAGAATATGGCAGGTGGGCTCCATTTCTAGATAACAATCAAATCATGGTGCTTTAGAAATTGGATTGAAAATAAGTATAGTCATAAGCTAATTCTGAACTCTTATCTCTTATTTTGTAAAATCTAGCTTGTATCTTAGGAAGAAAAAAAGACTAGTTGCCCTCTTTCTTGCATTGAATTGATTTACTTGTCCCATTTACTGTAATCAAACTTGAGAATACCAGTCAATTTTCATGTACATTATGATCAGGTGACAACTGATGTTGGAGTATTTCCTCAAAGGAGATCAGAAGAAAAGTTAATAAAGAAAAGATTATTTTATGGATAATTACAGTAAAGAAGAAAGATATTACCACTAGGATGTATCCTGAATAAGCTGTCTAAAATTAATTCACACTGCTTAACACCATCACTTTTGTAGTTTTTATCCCACCTTTCAGGTAAGTTTCAGAGCTCATTAAACATCCCAGTTATTTTTCTCTTTGAAACTGTTGCTAAGCTTGGTGACCTGCCTTGCCAAATTCTGGTTTGAGAAATTATCTTCAAATCTTCATTTTCTTAGGTTTAAAGTCAAAATTCAGTCTCTAGTCAAATCCTCCTAAAGTCAAAAGGAAAGCAGAAAATAATCAGGAAAATAATTTCCTTATATGTCAATAATTTCCCATATGTCATATGTCCTTATATAGTCCTAATACTTTCATTTGGCTTCCAAATATTCTAATAACCCTTAACCCATTCATCATTAGTACCAACTTATGATGAAGTAAAATATTGTACTTATTTTGTATATGAAAAAGTTGAATCCTTTGATCAAAGTAGCCAGAGGCTGAACTACATTTGGTAGCCAATGAATTGAACAGCAAATCAAAAATTAAAGCTATGCCAGTCCCCTCTTCTTAGGAATACCTGCTCTAGATGGACCCTGACACAGACAAGCTTTACGTTTGAGAAAAATAATATTCTTTGAGTCACAGGAATGTAAAAGATGACAATGGCCAAATGGTTGGCTGGTCAATAACGGTATTTACTAACCTGCTAACATACATTGACTCAGTTAATGCTCACAATATTCCTATGAGGTGGGTATGGTTATGGTTATCCTTAACCATACAGCTCATGAAATTGGGGCACAGAAAGGTTGAGAGACTTGCCCAAAATCACACAGCTAGTAAATGAGAAAGCCAGAAAGGCCAGTTCCACAGCCCACACTCTTAATCTGTGTCCTGAAGGATCTCTTCTAATTCACTTTACTTCCTCTAATTAAAAAAAAAGGGGGGGGGGCCTCAAGGTCCACTTAGAAAATAGAACTAGCACAGTTAAAAACAAAACAAACAAAATACTCTCAATCACTTAACTTCTCATTCTGCCATAAGAAACTGTAGAGGTAATCTATGTGGTAAATAATGACATGCCTATATCACAAACAATAAATAAACTCTTCCCTTAGGCAAAAGATTGGATCCCTAGTGCCTAGGCTTGTGAGTTGTGCAATGTAGTGGCTTAATAAATGAGTTAAATGAGTTTCCAAATTATGAGCTCCAAATTGATGTTAGGACCTTATTTCCAAAATAGTAATGCTACTGAGAAGTGGCCAGTCGTAATTCATTCATTCATCACTCCTTCAACTTACATATCCCAGGCCTACAACAAGTGGAGTTTTAATAGAGCTTATAGGGGTAGAGTTTCTTTTTTTTTTTTTTTTTGTTTGAATACAGGGTAATAAACAAAATGAAGCTTGTTTGTGTGTGTATGTGTGTATGTTGTGTATTTTTGGTTTTTTAAAATTACAAATAACTACACGTAATGTATATAATTTGATGAGTTTGGACAATATGCAGATAACATGGACGTAGCCCATGTGTACCTTTAAAGGTGTTTTGAGAGGTATCTACATTCTCTTTATTAGTATTCTAATTATGAATAGTATCAGAGAGACTAGCTAGGGAATACAGTACCCCTAAGGTGACCCTGTGCTATCTTTAGCTCGGGTTGTTTGCAAAGCAATTGAGCATAAAAGTATAAGTCTAAGCCGGGTGCGGTGGCTCAAGCCTGTAATCCTAGCTCTCTGGGAGGCCGAGCGGGCGGATTGCTCGAGGTCAGGAGTTCGAACAGAGCCTGAGCAAGAGCGAGACCCGTCTCTACTATAAATAGAAAGAAATTAATTGGCCAACTAATATAGAAAAAAAAAAAATTAGCCGGGCATGGTGCACATGCCTGTAGTCCCAGCTACTCGGGAGGCTGAGGCAGGAGATGGCTTGAGCCAGGAAGTTTGAGTTGCTGTGAGCTAGGCTGACGCCACGGCACTCACTCTAGCCGGGCAACAAAGTGAGACTCTGTCTCAAAAAAAAAAAAAAAAAAAAGTATAAGTCTAGGATGAGATTTACTAAAACCTTTGAAAAGAACTCATCTATTTCTTCATTTACATTCTTATGAAAGACTTTTTTAGGACTTAAGTACTCATTTAAAATTTATCACCAATGCATAAGGTTACAATATTCTAGAGAATAGATTCTGAATAGAAACCTACTATCCTAGCTTCCTATTCAGGTTTTCTTGTCTAACTCAGGTGGCATTTTATATCTGTCAAGCATCTCATAATTAGTTTTTCTTTAAATAACTCCTGTTTTGTGTGCTTTTTGTAATGTTCACAGAGCATCTCATTGTACTTGATTTTATTCAGTTTCTCTCACTTGGCAATATTTCCCTTCAAAAGTTCACAGTCTGGTCTCTTCCTTCGTATTTTTCATTTTATTTTCTCTCCTACTACTAATGAGATGGTGATTCTTGATTTGCTTTATTTGAGTTATTTATATCTTCAGGCCTCTGTTCAATATCAATTCTGGTTTGGCATTCTTTTCCTACTGAATGATGCCCAAATTAAGTTAAGAAGCAATTCCTAAGAAAGCTTGCCTGTGATTCTTCATGTTCTTCTGGCATCCCAAGCACTGGGCAGTCTGTTTAATTTTGAAAGTTGATGTAAATAGCTAAATTCATAGTTTATGTTAGGTTTGACTCAGGAAGTTCTTTCCAGAGTAATTCTGTTCTAAGACTAGATGGAGAAATAAAGAGTATGGAAGGAAGAATTAAAGCAGTCTAAGTGATGATTATAAATGCATAAAAGTGACATGGGCAATTTGATCTCTTGGGTAAGTGCTACTCATTTGGCATAGACCTATAGAATACAAGAATACGGTTTATGTTAACCAGCTCCTAACGATGGGGCTCCTAGTCAGAGAAGAATCAACAGAGTATGGCAGCAAGGGTCCCTGATGCTAACTTAACTACTCCCACCATTACCATCATCCCCATCAAACAAAAGCAGTGTACTGCTTTGCCCTTCTATCTGGGTCATTTTACTACAATTCTGGTTGCAAGTGACAGAAACCCAATTCCAAGTAGCTTAATGTTACTGTATATTTTAAGTATGCTCTTCAGGCTAGCTAGATCCAGGGACTCGAGCAATGTCACCATCTGCTTCTCTTAGCTCTGCTTATCTTTGCCTTTCTTTGCGTTTTGACCTATTCTCTCCTACTATATGTATTCCTAATATCACTTTCTACCAGCGCTATGATCCCAAAACTAGACAGTTGTTCCAACTGGTGAAGACTCTGATTGGCCCAGCTTGAGTCACATGGTCACCCTGAACCAATCACTGTGGCCAGTGTGAAGAGATTTTTCTAACTGTCCAGGACCAAGTTGTGGCTCAGGAGGACGTTCTATTACTGGAAGGGGTGGGGCATAAAATAATGCATGGGACAACCAAATCCAGGTAAACCCACTCCACGGCTAGGGAGAGTGGGTCTAACTAAATAAGCACAACGTTCTTGAGTGACGTAGGGGGAGTGGGTAAGGGAATGAGTTTTCTTCCGTGGTAGGAATCAGTTTACAAAGAACAGAAAGCAGAAACCTCAAACATAGCCGGCAGGCGCTTCCACAGATGCCCTCAGCCCCTTGGAAGTTGAGCTTGTGCTAGCAGCCTGCTCTCCTCAACAGGATGAAAGAGGGGACTAATAGAGGCTGCAGGCCCACAAAGCCCCTGGATCTGCCTCTCTGTTCTTCCTTCTCCTTACCCCTCCCTCTTTCCCTCAAGGTTCTTTGAGTAGTTTGGAATGTGGTTGGCCAGTACATTATTTTGTTTTTCTTTGGTCCCTGCCACGCTGATTCTGAGCTTGGCCATGTGATACAACAGCAAGCAAGACACGAGTGGAAACTTGTAAAGGGCTTGTGCATCAGGGCCTGCCCTTTCTTGCAGCTCTTTGGAGACCTGAGATAGCCATGTGAAGAAGCCTGGGCTGAATGACTAAAGAATGAGAGAGCTCATGGAGTAGCACCAAGTGTTAAAGATGAGGTCCTGAACCAACAGCCTGCCAAACCCGCAGATTACGTATGAGGCACTCTAGACCATCCAATCCCCGTTGAGCTGATCTGGGCCAAAATGACTGCCTAGTTAACCCACGGAATCATGAGAAATGATGGTTATTGTTTTAAGGCAACTAAAGCCTTGAAGTGACTTGTTATACAGCAAAGTTAACTGACACACCAATTTTCTTCTTTACGAACTTCCCATAAGTCTTTCAGTAGAGCAATGGCTACTGCACTGAGGGAGAAATTTGTGCTTGAAGCTTTTGCTCCAATTACAAGATGTTCACTTTTGCCCAGGCTCTCACATCCCGGGATCTGCTGGAGGATTCTCAGAGTTCATGAGCCTTCATATACCACAACTACTCACAACTAGTTAGTTGGTTGATATTCTTCAGCGTTCTTCCTGTAGAAGTGGGCAGGAAATCCAGGATGGGTAAGGATGGGCAGATTGATGGAAGGTAGAACCTCCTAGGGCACCAGATTACCTGCAGATAAGACAGGAGCCCTTGAAGCCATAAGCAAGAGCTGTAACTTGTATACCAGATGATCTGGATTCTTGTTTCCCTCTCTGCTTATTTTCCTTTTGTTATCTAGAAATCTTCAGCAAAGTCTTATTCAAATATTCCAAACTGCTCTCAGCTGGTACACAAAATATTAAAGGAAGAGTCTTTGTCTATGCTCAAATATATAGCAGGAACAGCACCCCTCTCAGGCTATTGGTTTGTTGGCAGAGGTAAATATCAGGAAGATTCCCTCTAATACACTTAGTAAGTTCCTTAGGAATAAACACCTAGGAATCAGCTCCTACCCAGGTGCACTTGTCAAAGTTCTTAGTGAGCGACCTTTGTCTGCGTGTCACGGCTAAGGTGGAAGGCATGAGTTGGGACAAAACCCATGCTTCTTCCCGATTTGGAAAAGACACTGAAGTCACCCCTCAGAAGAATTCAATGAGGCCATTTCTCTCAAATGAGGGGAAAAAGCAGATATTCCTGGAGGTCTCAGAACAATATTTTAGATTTTGGCCTCCAGACTTATTAGGCAGCAGTCCAGTGGAGTAACTGCAGTGAAGTTAGATTATATGAGATCCAAGAAGGCTGTGATGAGGGAACTGAGAGCTCAGGACACTTAGATCTCAATAGAAGCTGACATCTGGGTCAGGAAGAGGAAAGAAGGCTAATGGGAGGGGGAGGGAAACTCTTTACAAATACTTGGGGTGCAACAGTCTGGAAGGGGTCCTGGGAACCAACTATATTACATATCAGTATAAATCTGGCTTTGCTGAAGAACCCCTCAGTTTTTCCACTGGGGCCCCAACCCACTGTCTGCTGCTCTGTATTGTGATCTATACCAGAGGATAAGAGACCTATATTAATCACTCCTTTAAAAAAAAAAGGTTTCAATGGACAGAAAGCCAACTTGGACTAGGAGAATTCTTTCTCATGTAATGAAAGGCAGGAATGACCAGCATCTCAAACAAGTCATGACTCTTTCTCTGTTTTTCATTTTTTCCCTCTCTCTGAGTATTAGCTTCTTTCTCACAGACTGACTTCTTCACAAGGCTGTGACCACAGCTGCCAGCAGCTCCTGGCTCACCTCTTCCCTGGCCACCAGAGAATGTCAGGCTCTTTCCCAATAAATTATAGGTGGAGAAAACTGGAGAAAGGCACATTGACTTACTTGGGTCATGTGCCCATACCTGACCCAAACACCGGCCAAGGGCATGAAGTACTTTAAGTGCTCCATCCAGGGTCCTATGCCCAGATGAGCAGCTCCAAAAATTATGCCCCTGAAGGGAGGGATTATTCCCTGAAGTCACAAATAAAACAGTTCTAAATTCTTCTCTCTTCCTTACCAAGTTCTGCTGATTCCCAGTAAATCACTCATTTAAGGAATAAGATGGAAAAAAAAATAGAGAAAAGTCTAAATAATGGCATAATAACAAGTTCTGGGCTATGTCATTTTCTTTTTGCACTTGATCACCCTACACATTTTACTTTCTTTTTTCCTGGATATGTAATAAAAAATGCAAAAACAAGAATGGAAATACAAAAGAGGAAATATTTTTTAAAAATCAGCAGTATTAAAGATAACCCAATCATTGTATTAAGCCTACATACATAATTAAAATATAGATGCATTTATATGTATAAAAAATTTTTTTAATAAAACTTTTCAATCTGAGTATGGTGGCTCACACCTGTAATCCCAGCTACTTGGAGGCTGAGGTGGGTTGATGGCTTGAGGCCAAGAGTTCAAGACCAGTCTGGTCAACATAATGAGGTCCCCATGTCTAAAACAACAATAACAAAAAGAACCTTTTCAAATGGATATAAAGTGGTGTAAGAAGTCCTTAAAATAAATTATTTCCAATTCTAGTGGAGTTTCTTAATACCACATTAACATGTAGTTGAGTTGCTTTTTGCAGACGTGGAACTGGGGCTCTGTATTATATTGGCTACTGACACTGAATTTTGCTGTGTAAGTTTCTCCCTTCAATTGGCTGGAGGTAGTGAGAATCCTACATTTGTTTCTGTTTGTCTCTGGACTGCATTAAAACATCAGTTCATAGTTAAATAGAACAAAGGGAAAAGCCTGTAAAACCAGATTAACTACCATGTTTTTTGGTTTATTTCATTAATCATCTAAGTTAAATTTTTTTTTTTTGAGACAGACCCGCTCTGTTGCCCAGGCTAGAGTGCAGTGGTGTCATCATAGCTCACTGCAACCTCAAACTCCTGGGCTCAAGTGATTCTCCTCTCTCAACCTCCTGGGTACATGGAACTATAGGTGTGCACCACCACACCTGGCTAATTTTTCTATTTTTTTGTAGAAATGGTGTCTTGCTCTTGTTCAGACTGGTCTCAAACTCCTTGTCTCAAGCAATCCTCCTGTCTCGGCCCCCCAGAGTACTAGGATCACAGATGTGCCCAGCCTAAGTTCAATTCTTTTTAATGAAATTTATGGTGGTATAATTTACATGTAATAAAGTGTACACTAAGTGCACGTTATGGCTTTTGACAAATCCATATGCTCATGTGACCACCATCACAATCAAGTCATAGAACAAACTCACCACCCAAAAAATTCCTTATAGCCCTTTCTAGTCAATTTTCCCTTATCCTCAGCCCCAGGCAACCACTGGTCTGCTTTCTGTTATTATTGGTTAAATTTTGTATTTTTTTTTTGACACAGAGTCTCACTATGTTGCCTGGGCTAGAGTGCTGTGGCACCAGCCTAGCTCACAGCAACCTCAAACTCCTGGGCTCAAGCAATCCTCCTGCCTCAGCCTCCCAAGTAGCTGGGACTACAGGCATGTGCCACCATGCCCGGCTATTTTTTTCTATATAAATTTTTAGTTGTCCAGCTAATTTCTTTCTATTTTTAATAGAGATGGGGTCTCACTCTTGCTCAGGCTGGACTTGAACTCCTGAGCTCAAATGATCCACCTGCCTTGGCCTCCCAGAGTGCTAGGATTACAGGCGTGAGCCACCGCGCCCGGCCTGTTGCTTAAATTTGTCTTTTCAAAAAGTTTCATAGAAATGTGATCATATAGTAGGTACTCTCATGTGAGCTTCTTTCACTTAGTATAATGTATTTGTGATTCCTCCCTATCAGTAGATCATGCCTGCTGAGTAGTATTCCCTGCTGAGTAGTATTCCCTCATGTGGATATACCACAATTTGGTTTAATTTGTTGATCAATATATCTGTTGGATATTTGGGTTGTTTCCAGTATGGGGACTATTATGTATACAGCTGTTATGAACACTTATGTATAAGTCTCTGGACATATGTTTTCATTTCTTTTGCATAAACAATTAGGATTGGAATGGCTAGATCACATGCTAAGTGTATATTTAACTTTACAGAAAATTTCCAACCTGTTTCTCAAAACTTTACATTCCCACTAACAGTATATGTGTTTCCTATGCTCCATGTCCTTGCCAACACTTGGTATGGTCAGTCTTTTTAATTTTGGCCATTTTAGTGGATATGTAGTGGTATCTCATGGTGATTTTAATTTGCATTTCCCTGATGACTAATGGTGCTGAGCATCTTTTCATGTGCTTATTGGCTATCCATATGTCTTCTTTGTCCCTCATTATTGCCACTGTTCCACATTTAGGCTCTCATCATCTCCTGTCTAAAATGTAAATTTCTAATTCAACTCCAGCATAAACCAAGGTCTGATCATATCCTAGCTCTACTTATAAGCTTTTCTGGAGCACTACTTTCTCAGAATTAAGTTCATACTTCTTAGCATGTCATTCAAGGCTTTTACCAATTTAGCCACAAAATACTTTTTTTAATAAAAAAATATTGTATTTACTTAGAAGCATTCAGAATGTCAACAAAACAGGCTGCAAGTTTTTCTTTCTTTCTTTCTTTTTTTGCAATTACAGAGTGGTGTTCAGTTAATGGAACAATTACTTCATATAAGCTGCATCAGAGAAAACTGAAGATGAAAAAACTCCATCCCCATATATAACTAATTTGTGCTGTGTACCAACAAGAACCTGCTTTAAATTTCCATGCCAATTTACAACGCCCACACTGTACCAGGCAAGGTTAGTGGCTATTGAAAATACCACCAGGACGGGGCTAGCTAAAGACACATTAATGTGTTGGTAGTGTGTTAACTACACACAAAAAGACACTGTACGGTTTAAAAACAGATCTTACACAGCCTTACATTTCAACTGTTTTCTTTAAAAGGTGTGAGTTTTGTACAGAGGGCTAAAATGCCTTATAGACAACAAAAAACCCACTAGAACCAACTTATTAATCATCATCTTCATCTTTATCTTCTTTGTCTTCCTCCTCTTCCTTCTTTTTCTTGCTTTCCTCAGCCTTGACAACTCCCTTTTTTGCTGCATCAGGCTCTCCTTTAGCTCAGTATGCAGTGACATCCTTTTCGTATTTTTCCTTCAGCTCTGCAACCTTCTTTTCATAAGGCTGTCTGTCACCTGCTGCAGGGGCCTGCCACATCTCTCCCAGTTTCTTTGCAACATCACCAGTGGATAGGCTGGATATTCTCCCTTGATTTTGGGGTGATACTCAGAACAGAACAAGAAGAAGGCCAAAGGAGGCCTCTTAGGTACATTGGGATGCTCGAACTTCTTTTTTGTTTCCCTTTTAGGAGGGATATAGGTTTTCATTTCTCATATATAACGGGCCTGTGTGCCTTTGCCATATCTTCAAACGCTCCTTTCTCTGTAGCAGACATGGTCTTCCACCACTCTGAGGACTTCTTAGAAAACTCTGAGAACCGACCGAAGCATCTGGGTGCTGCTGCTGGTGCTCCTCCCGGCAGGTCTGCACAGAGTGCGCGTGATGGCATTTTGCCTCTCGGCTTCCCAGGGTCTCCTTTGCCCATGTTTAGTTATTTTTCCTCATCAAGGCACAGAGTCGCCCAGTGCCCATCCGGCTCTCACTTGCCCCAGCACTGTCTCTGGTGCTCAGTGGACGCCAATTCCTCCCCGTCTTTTCTCCCTGACCCCCAACCCCACACACTTGCACACACTTGCTGATGGCTTTTCCCCAATCCTGTCCCACAAGCTCCTGGGTTTGTGGCTTTCCTCCTGCTGTTCAGTCCACCTAGGTTGCCCTGTGCTCTTCTCGACATGACAAAATATTCACTCTTTTTTATAAAATAATAAACATATATATTTTTAGGCCAGATTATAAAGATGCAAAAATATTCACTCTTTAAGGCCCAATTCAAAGACCTCCTCTGTGTGAAGCCGTCCCGACTTCATCAGGCAGGCCTGACCGCTATCGCTGCTGTTTCAGAGCACCAGTCTGTGCAGCTACTAAGGTGCTCCCCACAGGGTGCTGTGGCAGCCGAGGGTGGGGCTGCTGGCTCTTTGCTGGAGCTCAACTCCTTAAAACAGCAACGGTGTCATACTCTTGTTTGCATTCTGAGGGCCTCATACTAACTCCTGCCTGGTAACACTGGTTGACTGAATGTGTAGATGGACAACTTAGTAAAAAAAAAGGAAAAATAATTGCCTTTAAGCAAGTTGTTTACCCTCTGTAGAACTCTGCTTCCTTATCTGTAAATAGCTGATTTATAATTTATTTATAATTTATTATTTATAATATCTTCCCAGTTCTAACGTTTTAAAATTTTTACATTTATATTTTGAAATCCAGTAAAATAGTATATTCGAACATATTTCAAAACTGAATGATGGGTCAAATGGTGCTGATTAGATAAAGCTGAATTATCACTGACATTTTGAGGGGCAGCTTCTTATTCCCTACAAAGTGATAAGATAAAAATAGTGGGACTCTTCTCAATTAACTTTGCGATAATAAAGAATTACACTGTTTTAGTCTAAATCTACAAGGCAGCAGCACAGCACATTCTCACATTTTCTTATACATTTATGCTTTTATATTTCTATATGTTGTGTTTTTCTTTTATAGTTTGGGGGAAGACCAAAGGAAGAAGAAGGCTAACACTTAGGAAACTATAGTCTACCATTTAGCTGTATAGTCACAATTGAAGCAATCTAGTAATTATTACTTAAATTTGTACCATTTAATATTTACAGTCTAAAAAAAGTTGTTTACTCAAGCAAATCAAGTTAAAAATATGTAATGAAGACATTTTTTCCATTTGGAAATATAACAAATATTATTTTAAATAATGCAAATTATATATCATACTTTTGACCTATAAATCCAGGAGTTTCTTTCTACATGATCATCCTGGATAAAGCTAGAAACGAAGGCAGTCTATGATACCTTCTTAACTTCTTTCCAGTG